TGTGTGTGTGTGTCGGGGGGGTCCTCACATGCCTCTCAGTGAAAGAATGAGGTGAAAAGGGGTGGAAGGGCATGGCTGGGAAAGGAGAAGGAAGTTCCAGGAGGAGGGGCTGGAGGTCGAATTCTTCTCCTCTATTCATATGTTGCAGTCTGGACCCCTGGTACCTAGAATGTGACCTTGTTTGGACATAGGGTCTATACAGAGGGGAACAGGATGGGATGAGGCCATTACGGTAGACCCTGATCTGATCTGACAGTGTCCTTATAAGAGGAGGAGATCAGATCATGGACACACAGAGGACCATTGAGGACACAGGGACAAGATGCCATCTGTGAACAGGACAGAGGCCAGCCAGTGACACCCGGATCTTAGAGTTCCAGCCTCCAATGTGCAGGATAGTGATTGTCTGCTGTTGATGAGCCTGGTTGTGGCGTTTTGCAGGGGGGTCCCTAACTGGCAAATACCATGGGGCTCCAGGGGCTGGCGTGGAGGACAGGACATTCCCAGGGAATGAAGGCAGCCAGCGAGGGAGGGGCCCAGCTTGCAGACTAGGAATGATCAAAGGATTCATTTGGGGGACAGCAGAGAGGGCTGGGGGGGGAGTAGGGGTCATGGGATCAGTAAGCATTTGCAATTTTGATTTACTTTTTTGTTAAAGTACAACTTATAGGAAATTTAAGTGTACAGCCCAGTGGATTTGTAATTTCATTTTAGTGAGGTGTTAGGGAAACAGGGGAGACCCTAGATCCAGTTAAGGCCATAAACATTTCCATGGCCCCCACTGCAATGTCCTTGCTCCCCGCCACCCACCCCTCTCTCCGACCTTGTCTCCAGGAAACCTTTGCTCTGCTTTCTTTCACAATAGATCAGTTTGCACTTCCTATAATTTAGTATAAATAGAACCCAACATATGTTCTCTTTTTTGGCTGGCTTCTTGCACACAGCATAATTATTGTGCAATTCATTCAGGGTGCAGCATATCTCAGCTTCATTCCTTTTTACTGTCTAGTAATGTTCCATTGTTCTTGTTCAGATGTACCCCAGTTTGTGTGTCATTCACTGGTTGGCACTGGGGCTGGTTCCAGCCTGGGGATATTGCAAATGAAGCTGCTATAAATATTGATTCACAAGCCTTTTTGTGGATGGAGTTTCCATTTCCCTGCAGTGATTTCTCGGGAGTGCGAGTATTGGGTGGCATGACAGGTGTGTGTTCCACCTCCGAAGGGACTGCCAACCTTCTCCCAAATGGCTGTGCATTTTACCTCCCGCCCAGATGCGTGTGAATTACAGCTGCTTTCTCTCCATGCCAAGCCCGGGGAGGTGTCATCTATCCAGCTGTTGTGGTCCTAACAGGTGAGGACGTACCTCCCTGCAGCTTCAGCTCACATTTCTGTAATGGCTGATGCTGTTGACTACTTTCTCCTGAGGCCATTTGCATGTCTGCTCCACTTGACCATTTATGCAGTTCTTTGGCTCATTTTATGGGCCCATCTTTGCTTATTGAGTTGCGTGCCTCTGTGTTCTGGATATGAGTCCTCGGTCTGAGACAGCTGTTATTTCCACCCAAGCCTTTGCCTCTCCTTGTTTTCTTCTTCATATCCTTCATAGAGTGCAAGTTTTTGATTTTGAGGAGATCAATGAATCAATTTTTTTGCTTCAGTGATTGTGCTTTTTAAGGGCATTCTATCTGGAAAATCTTGACCTTCCCCGAGGTTACAAATAATTTTCTTCTGTACTCCAGCAGGAGTTTTTTAGTTTTAAGTGGGGGCAATCTGATGTTCATTATTTCCTCCATTTTGGAAATCTAGTTAATCCAAACTATTTTTTGAAAAGATTTGGTTTTTCCTGCCAGTGAATTGCCAAAGCACCTTTACCCCAAACCAATGGGCCAGATGTGTGGGGGTCAGTTCTGGGCCCTGTTCTGTCCCACTGGTCCGTGTGTCTGTCCTCACACCTGTACCAAGCTGTCTCCCTTTCTGTAGCTTCCCAAGGAGGTCCTGAAATCAGGTAAGTCCTCCTACTTTGTTCTTCTTTCCTAAGAAGTTTTGAGTCATTTTAGGTTTTCCCATTTCTATGTAAATTACATAATGGGCTTGCCTGTATTTATTGGGATTGTGTTGAATCTATAAATTTGAAGGCAATGTCTGTCTTCATTTTGTCTTCTAATCTATGAACACGATGCAGCTCTTCACTTATTTAACTCTTAAATTCCTCTCAGTAGTGTGTGTTCTATAGTTTTCAGTATAGTCTCCTGGTTGTCTTGTGTTAGATTATTCCTAAGTATTTGATGTGTTTTTTTCTTTTGTTGCTACTCTAAATGGAATGTTAACGTTTTTTCATTTTCCAACCATTTACTGCTATTTGAATAAGAATATAATTGATTTTGGATGATTAACTTTGCATCCTGTGACCTTGCTGGGCTCATTCAGTTGATTTACTTGTTCTAAGGATTGCTTTGTAGGTAACCTGGGACTTTCTATGTTAATAATCATGCCAGCTGCAAAGGGGAACAGTTTTACTTCTCACACTTCAAGTTTTATTTCCTTTATACAGCCTAGCTTTCTTTTTCCCTCCTTCCTCCCTCCCTCTTCCTCCCCTTCCTCTTCCTCCTCCTCTAGCTCCTCTTCCTCTCCTCCTCTTTGTCCTGTCTCTATCTCTCTATCTCTTCTTCTCTTTTCTCCTCTTAGGTCTTTCTGCTATGGCAAGGCTCTTCAGAACAATGCTGTCTAGGTGTGGGCACCTTTACCTTTTCCACGATCCTAAGGGGGAAAGGTTTGATTGGTGCCATAGTTTGCATCTTGTCCAGAGTATACAGGTGTGGTTGGGTGGGATGAGCAGAAGGAGCTGGAAGGGGCTCACACAGGGTGGGCCAGGATCCTCCATGAATGTTCACATACTTATGCATCCATGTGTTGTTGTTGCATCAGTCTGGGTTCTCCAGAGAACCAGAACCAATAGGAGATACCGATGTACACATACTAAGGCAACTGAGGAGTCCTGTGACCTGTCTTCAGGCTGGAGACCCACAAGGGCTGGTGTGGATGTCGCTGTGTTGAGCGCTGGAAAGTGATGATGTGGCCTCCAGTCCAGGCCTGGGGCCTGAGATCCTGGAGCTCCAAGGGTAGGGGATCCACATCTGGTTCTGGCAGTCCAGACCCAACCTTGCTACATATTTTTGTTCTACTCAGGCCTTGAAAGGATTGGATGACACCAACCTATAAGGGACAGCCATGGACACTGCTGTGCCACCATTTCAAACTCCAGTCTGGTCTGCAGCAACCTCAGGGACACAACCAGAAGCTGAATCCCGCCAGCTCCTTGGAGACCCCACAGCCCAGCCAGATGGGCACACGAAGTCAACCACCACACACTGGCGGGACCCAGCACAGAGCACCTTCTGCCCTCTGGAATGCACCTTCCAGGCACTGCCCGCTCTCAAAGGCAACTGCCCTGCACCATATCTACCCATCCAATAGTTGCCCTGTCCCTGGATGTCAGCTCAACAGAACCATAGAGGGGACTTCCTGTTTTTCAAACATACTGTCTGTGAGCTGTGCGTGCTGTTCCTGCAGAGGCAGCCCCTTTGTTTCTGGGGCTGGGTGATGCCCCTTTGCCTGTTTGTCTCTTTCTCTGCTGGTGGTCACTGGCCTGTTCCCAGGACAGGCAGTCTTGGTGTTTTGGAGCAGCACGGAGCAGAGTGGCCCCAAACACATTTGCCTGAGTCACACAGGCCTGACTCAACTCCCAGGCTTTGCCACAAACAAGCTGTGTGACCTTGGGCAACCGACTCATCTCTGCGAGCTGCAGCTTCCTCTTGTGTGCAGCGGGGATCAGGATGGCAGAACCCGCACAGAGCGCTGGCAGGAGGACCAGGCAGCGTGAGGCACAGACACCACCCAGCCCGCTGGGCTGGCACCATCAGGAAGTTATGGTCCCTGAACACCCTGAACAGGCCTGAGCTGAGCAGAAGCTCCCCATCCACTGTCATTCCTGGTCCCTGGTATGTAAGGACCAAGCACTCCCGGGACATTCCCACCAAGCGTGTGGGGAGGTGGGGACAGTGTCCAGACACAGGAAGTGTCCCCGCCATACAGCAAGGTGAAGTCAGGGCTGGAACTTGGGTGCAGGCTGAGCCTCCATGGGACCCACTAGCCCCCTGCTGCCCTCCGGGTCTGGGACCCTGGTTCGCGCAGGACGTCCCCACTGCAGCCATTCCTTGACCATCATAGGAGAGAGAGCTCAGGGGAGGCTACCTTCCCGTATTAGCCCTGGCTGCCTCCTGGGCCCCTTTCTGTTCCTCCCTGGGCTTGTCTCTCTGTATTGCCCACCCCTAGGGTGTCACAGAGCCCAAAGCTACAGCTCCTCTCCAGGATCTGGCCCATGAGTCAGCAGGGCCCATCTGCTCTTGTGCCTGTCCTGGGCTTGTCAAGGCGCCTTGCATGGTTGTTCAGGTTGTGCACTGTACCATTCAAGGAAACGTCGTTCTTGTGGTCATAGGACTCCTAGGATTCCTTGGGGCTGAATTATCTGTGCAGCCCTCCAGCTTTCCCTGCCATCTCATTAACACAGGAGGTACCTGATGTGCTATGGGCCCAAGGGTGAGTCTGACAGGCACTAGACAGGTTCCCAGAGGCTGGGGGTGCTCTGTGGAGTTCTGGCTCCCCTGGGCACAGGGGACTGACTGAGCGGGGGTGTGACCGGGGGCCTAACCCAGTTGAGAGCCTCATGGGTCATACCGAGTGAAGCCAGTCAGTGTCTGTGAAGGGGAGGTGGCCCTGGCATCGCCAGGCCTGGGTTCAAATCATCCCACATGTGCCTTGATTTCTTTGCCTCTGAACTGAAGCCATGAGATGACCTGCCAACACCTCCCGACCCCCAGCCAGGTTCTGCATGGGTACTGAGTCTGATGGCTCAGGTGAGGTCATACCCTGGCTGGCTGGGGTCAGGGCAGGGCCACCAGGAGTGTCCAGGTGCCACACGGGCCTTTGAGAGGCACCGAAGGCCTTGGGTCCACATACCAGCTGCCACCCACACAGGCCGGTGTCCTTTCCAACCGTGCAGCAGGACTAAGGTCACTTGGAATCACAGAGAGGAGCAAGTGACCCAGGGGTGGCCAGGAGCGTGAGTCAGGACAGGCCGGGGAGCAGGGATCACTGCAGACCCCTGAGGTCCCTGGGCTGCTCCAGCTCAGGCACAGCCTCTGCCACATGGGGAGAGAGCTGCGGGCCGTGTGATGTGCCCCGTCACTGGTGTCACTTGGAGCCAGGGCAGCGGGCAGATAGGCGGGGTCCAGCCAGGCCCCAGAGAGGAGGCGACGAGGCTCAGTAGCACGAGGGTAGGGGCACGGGCCTGGCTGCCTCTCTCTTTCCCTGTCCCACTACAGCTCCTTCCCAGCCGGCCTTGCATCTGGTGGACCTTGCCGTGGGCCAGGTCAGAACCACAGGAGCCCAAGAAGGGGGATGCTCACCCATGCCCTGCCCGGCCCAGTCCTGGTGAGTGGGGACTGGCCAGAGCCGGGCGGGAGGTATGCCTGCCTGAAGCCCACCCGCCTTCCCGAAGCATGTCACCCTGAACCTAAAGGCCCTGGCAGAGTGCTGCATGAGCTAGAAGTCCCACTCCCGGGCACCCGCCCGAGGCTCAGGGTGCACCTGCCACCTTTACCCCAGCATCACGCACAAGAGTCAGGAGTGGAGACCAAGCAGGTGTCCACAGTGACAAGTGAAATGCAGTTGGGTCTGTACTGGACAGTGTGGTGCAGATATGCCTTGACCCGGATGGTCTCCACGCATGACGCAGGTGACAAAGCCACTGGGGCCTGTGTACTGCACGGTTCCACTTACTGAGTCACCAGAGGGGCGAGGGAACAGGAGGCAGGCTGGTGGCTGCCAGGGTGGGGAGTAGGAGTCCTGGGGGAGGACGGTGGTCAAGAGGTGTGGGTGTTTGGGGGAGGACAAGAGTGGAGCCTGACTTCAGAGAGGACACAGTTCTGAGTTCACTAGAGACCTGGGACCGGCAGGATGAGGGGTGTAGGTGACATCTCTCAGTAAAACTGCCCAGGATCAACCTACACAGCATGGAAAGTTCAGGCCCAGAGACCCACCGGGGAGAGGCCCAGAAGATGGACAGGAGCTGCCAGAGAGATGCCTAGCCCGAGGCGGGCTCCTTAGCCCTAAGAAATGCCTGTCTCTCTTTGCCAGCCTCCCTCAGCCCCTGCTGGGTCCAGCTTGGGGCTCTCAGGCTGTGACAGCCACCTACAGCCCAGGCCTGGCCCAAGGTGACCAAATCACCATGCTTTGGTAGTCTGTGCTGGCTCACACTGCTAGTGGTGAGACCCCTCCACATTCACCAGCCCAAGAGAGACACCAGAGGCTGTTGTCATAGTGATGGGAGTGGGAGCTGCAGTTTCAAGCTCTGGGCAATCCTGCGCCAGTCAGTCAGTCAGTCAGTCAGTTATACAGCTGTGTAACAAAGAGATCAGAAAACATAGTGGCTCAATCTCTAAACCATCTTCTCACAGGAAAGGCCAAGTAGGTAGGCTGGGCTGACACAGCTCCGGCTCCCATCTCCTCAGTCACAGCATCTTCTCTGCCATGATGTGTTGCACTGGATTCTGGGAAATGGATTCTTTAGCTGGGAGGTCATATGTCCAGCTGAGCATCCTCTATTGGGCAGTGGAGTAGGGAGGGGAGAGGAAGCAAGGGAGGGAAAGAGGGAAGGAAGGAAGGAAGAAGTAAGGAGAAAGGGAGGGAAGAAGAGGAGGAAGGAGGGAAAGAGGGGAAGAAGGAAGGAGAGAAAGAAGGAGACAGTAGGATAGGTAGCAACGGGCACTGTGAACCTCAGTTCCCAGGCACTGGGGAGGTTAGTGAGGGTCGCAGACACACCCCAGGGTGTCTAGGGCTGTGGAGAGGACGGAGCTGTCTGCCCATCCATCGGGAACATGACTGGTGTAGCTGAGTCCAGACCCTTGTGGGAGGCCTGACCCCACTGGGAGAGGGCTCCCCTTCGAGGACAGGCCAGTGGGGATGTGACTCAGCATACCAGCACCACAGCACTTCCCTGGGCTCTGGCCCTGGCCCGCTGGCTGGCGGACTCTCTGACGCTCTGACGCTCGATACATTCTGTTGTGAAAGAAAACAAACTCTTTTGAAACTGCTGCCCAGAGCACAGACTTCGAGTCTCGCCCCCTCGCTCCCCTCCCTTGGAGCTGGTGGGTGTCTGCATACTGTGGAATCTTCACAGTGAGGCCGCATGCGGGCCAGACGCCCTGTCCCTGCCCTCTGAAGCAGCAGAACAGGACCCAGTGCCTGCTGTGTGGCAACATCGAATGTGGAAACTGACAGGGTTTAGCCTGAGGCCAATAGGGAGCCACTGGAGTGTTGAGAGGGAGAATGGCTGGGTCAGATGAACATTTCAGGAAGTTCAAACAGTGGAGCCCCCACGAGAAGGAAGCTAGTGGCAAGATGAGAGTTACAGATGTCAGTGACCTTTTAAAACAAGAATCCATGGGTTTGCAGCTCCCGAAGAGGCCCCAGGTCATGCCCACAGCTTTTCAGCCCCGGCTCAGCCTCAGATCTTCATGGCAGGCATCAGGGATCCCTAATTGGGAGATTCAGGGCCCTGTCATGCCTGGGCTGGATGGGAAGGGGGCGGCCACAGTCTCCTGGGTCTCTGGTCCTGTGGGACCCGGGGATGGGGAGGGGCTGGCCCAGCACCCTGCAGCAGCACTCTCTTCCCGTCCCTCCAGCAGAGCCTGGCAGTCTGGAAAGATGCAAACCCCAAGGGCTGGGCAAGGTTCACAGGACAGGGAAACAGAGGTGACCCCTGAGCTGTCACCTGGGCCAGGACTCAGCCCCAAGCCCTTTTTACATGGGGATGTCCATCCTCCTCAAGCACCCAGGAGTGAGGCCGAGGGGACACTGCAGAGAGGGCACTGGGGCCCCCGGAAAAGAGGACACTGTTGAGGGAGCATAGCTAGGGGTGCAAGCTGGTTGGCTCCCATCGACCTACCCATAGTCTGTACGGACCGTGAGCCCACAGGAAGCCAGCACAGGGTACATGTGTGTGCGCGTGTGCATATGCGTGTGTGTGTGTGTGTGTGTGTGTGAAGCCGCATATGGGAGCAGGGCTGGATGACTCTCCCTTTGCCATCACTTTTGTCCTCACTGCAGGATGGGGGTGACAGCGGAGGGGTGGAACCTGTGTGCTGGAACTGTGGCCCTAAGCCAGCCCCAAAGGCCTCAGTTTCTCATTTACGGAAGGGAGTGCTGATGCCTGCTTCTCACAGTGCCAGAATCTGCATGTGAACCAGGAGGCTGATCACCCAGCTCCTACCTGGAGGGCCTCTGCAGTGCAGGAGGGCTCAGAGGGTGGAGGACAGGGGCTGCTCCTGCCTGGGCTTCTTGGGGAGGAGAAGCCCTGGACACGGATGAGGTCTCCAGCTCGGGGAAGACCAAGGCCATCCATCTCCTAAGTAGGGGGAGGGGAGGGAGGAACTGGAAGGTGTAGGTGATGGGCTGCCTGGTGGGTTCCTCCTGCCACAGCGCCTTTGCACTTGTCTGTCTCCAGCTAGCAGATTTTTGCCTCCCCATGCTCCACACAGGTAACTCAGCTCCCAGATGCTGAGCCCCTTCCCTAATGACCCTGGCCAGGTCCCCTCAGATTCACAGGAGGTTATTCCAGGAGACAGTGCCAGAGGGCTGGGCCACACCTTCTTGTTCACCCCTGTATGCAGTGCCCAGCCTGGCAGGCACTGGAGACCTCCACAGATGAATGCAGAGAGGACTGGATGCCAGAAACGTCAGCCTTGACAGCCCAGAGAGGAAGCCTAGCACAGGAGCCTCAGGAGACAGAGGAGAGTCAGGGCTGTGCCACAGCCTGGCTGTGATCCAGATCTTGGACTCTGTGGCCAGGCTGCCTTCTGGCTGCTCTCTACCAGCTGAGTGACTGTGGGCATGTGGCTCAGCCTCCTTGTGCCTCAGTTTCCCTTCTCTAAAATGGGGACAATACCATGGCCCATAGAGTGGATGCTAGAACTAAATAAGACGAAGTCTTCAGACCAGTGGCTGGCACATATTAAAAATGGAGAATTTGTTGGATTTTTTTCTTGCTTGCTTTGAAATTAAGGCATTTTTTAAAACATCACTTAAATGATAGATAAATGTTTAAGGTGGAAGAGTAAATTAAACTGAAAAACCAATGAAAGAAAATCCAAATCCCCAGAAATCTCAGCAGCCAACAAAACTACTTCTATTAGTCAGGGTTAGGTTCAACGATGAGTGACAGACATCTCTCCAAACAGTAGTGGTCTAGACAGGAGGGAACCTGGTTTCTCTTTCACTTCAAGAAATGGGACAGAGATTGAGGCTCCTCACTGTTCCCTGAGCCGTCATCCTGGAGGCGTGGTCCTCTCTTTTTGGTCCAGGATGGCGGCTGCAGGGCCAGGCAGCACATCTGGGTTCTGGGCAGCAAGATGCATGAAGAGATGAAGAAGGTGAATGCCATTTGGCTTCTAAGGAAGTTTTCTGGAAATTGTAATAAGTCCTTCCTTCTTTCTCACTCTCCTTCCCTCTTTTCCTTCCTTCCTTCCTCCATATATATCTTGACCCCACCTGGCTGCAAGAGAATTGTAGGCAGATGGTACACTGTGGGCAGGTGGCTATGTGCCTTTTTCATTCAAAATCAGATCACAGTACTTTCGTGTGTCCACAAATAGTCAAGGGATTATTGTCAAAGATTGTGATTCATCATGTGCCGATTGATGATTCCCACGGACACCTAAAATAGCTCCAGCCCTCCCTGTGGAGGCAGGGAGCATACAAGGCCACACCTTACATTGGACAGGAGCTGGGAATTGCCCTTCTTGAGGCTCCTCGAAATTCTCTCCCCATCCTGCGGTGAGAGGATGTCAGGCTGAGGCTGGCCCATCTTGGCCCCCTCTGGTGATAGTGGGGTTAGTGGGCTTTCCCCATGCTCACTCCAGATCTCAAGCTCTCTCCTCCATCCTACCCAGCAGAGTGTCCCAGATTATCCATGGGTCCCCCTGGGAAGCCCTGCCCGGGACAAAGCCAATCAGAGAGCCACCCCTCCAGGGGTGCTCCCTTCACGGAGCAGCAGGAGTGGGCACTTCCACAGATGCCCAGGCAGGCAGCTGGTTTCAGATGAAGCAGGAGCAGTGGCCTGGAGCTCTGGATGGGTGGTGGGACAGGTGGCCTGTGGTGATCACCCTGGCCCTCCATCGGGTGGACGGTTACAGCCACCAAGCTGAGATGTTGCTCCTAAGCATGCCAAGAAGTGTTCATCAGCCTGTCTGGGGTTTAGCCCAAACCTCCCAGCTTCAGCTAGCAAAAAGAGCCCAGGATCTAGCAAATAAACAGCTTTTCCCATTTAATCTGACTTCTGAAAAACAAGTATGTCTTCTTTAGTTGGTACCAAATATTGCATGGGACAAATGCAGTATTTTAAGGAAGCTCCCTAGAATAGGTGACATGTCTTTTCTCGGACATTGGTGACATGGCTACAGCTCACTGCAGCCTTTATTCTACTTGGCAGCCTTAGCTGGCAGCACCTCAGGGCCCTAGAAGCAGTACATCTGGAGTAATAAACCTGGGTTCAGCCTTGGCTGCTTCTGTCTCTGCTGGCTGTGGACTTCAGGAGAATTTACTTAAACTTTCTGTTCCCCAGCTTCCTCCTCCATGAACCTGGGCATGACCAGCACCTTGATCAAGGAGAGAGAATGAGGAGTAAAGAACCAACTTCTTCTTCTGGCCACATAGTAGTACAGGTTAGCTCCAAGCCCTTCCTCCACCTGCTGCTATTCAGAACGTTGTACAAATTATAACAATTGTTTTTGTGGGTGCATGGCTGAAGAGCACAGGGAAACCAGGGAAATCCCGATTGGGCAGAGCCAGAGGAAGAACTGAAACAGGGGGCCTGTGAGGTCACCCCACAGTGGCCTGGAGGGCAGCCGACACCTATAAAGCATCCAGAGCTGAGGTTCCAGACCATCAGGACCAAGGTGGGGCTGTGGACCCCATGTGGAGCTGGAGCAGCAGCCCACTCTCCTCTCAAGAAAGAGAGTCTGCCCATTGTCTCAGGAAGGAAAACGGGGTCCCTCTGCTCCAGGCTGTACCCAGAACTCAGACTGAAACACATACATTCACTGCATGGCCTGGAACCCACAGCCTACCACAGAGTGAGCCTGAGGAGAATCAATCCCTGAGCCTCACCTGACAGACATCAGGACCATCTGGGATTTCCATACACAAAGCCCTGGGACAATGAGCTCACGATCAAAAGTGACAAAGCCAAAGGCCTTGGTGGTCCAGGAGAGGAATTGGACCAGGCGGATGAGTTTAAAACCCTAAAGGGACTGATATGTTCAGGTGGAGACTTTAAAATGATGCATTTTAAATGTTTGAGGAGCTACAAGAAGGAATAAAAATTTTTGAGGAAATGACAAGTCACCATGAAAACAGAAAAGATAAATTTCAAAATGAACCAAACATAATTTCTAGAAATACACAGTTATATTTGGAACTCAATGGTTTGGGACATCTTTGTTTTGACCAAAATAATGAAAACAGTCGGATTTGTTCACTTGTTGTAAATAACCAGAGAACAGACAAAATCCTACAAAACAATGGCTTTTAACCCATCAACAGCATGGGGACAGGACAGGTTGCCTCAGGGAAGGGACACATAGGGCGATCGCTACTGGCATCCTGGTTTCTGCGGTGCAAAATCTTGAAGACGAGGGAGGGGGAATGGGAACCAAGTGTGGCGATCTCTCTGAGTAGAGGAGACAAGCTAGGCTCCAGGGAGGCCTGGATCTCTGTCATTAAAGTCATCTGATAGGAACAAAAGATCCCAAATAGGCTGATGGTGACTGTAGAAGCCAGAAGACAGAGAAACCACACAAATGAATCTTCTTTGGAGACACACCTTTGTTCACGAGTAAGGTGATGTGAAGGTGTGTGGATATTACACAATCACAATGAATTTGGCACTTATATTGATGGGTGGATTTTTAAAATATCATGTATCCATCCTTACAAGATGGAATATCATTCCACCTTAGGAAAGAAGGAACTCCTGCCATATGTGGCAATGAGAGTGAGCCTAGGGGATATGGTAAGGATTCAGCTAAGCCAGGTGCAGGACAAACACTGCACGGGCGATGTACTGAAGTTTCTAACATAGTCAAAGTCATAAAGGAAGAGCACAGTGGTTGGTGGAGGCTGGAGTGTGGCAGGGAGTGGGAACTGAGATTCAACCAACAGGTGTGCGTCTCAGGTATGCACGATGAATGAATTCTAGACATCTACAGTGGGCATTGTGCTGTCGATAACAAGTGGGCTGCAGGGTAGATTTTCGTATGGACAGAGTGTGTATTCCACAAAGAGTGGAATAGAATCTACCATGTATAGAAGTATCAATCTATCAAAACTGGAAAGAATCTGGCGAACATGTGAATAAGTGTAAACAAACATTGACAATAAAATAGCATTATTATAATAAAATATGTAATTTGAAAGATATGGAAACAATATTGAATTAAAAATAAAGACAGAATAAGAGGAAGTCCATCAGAGTTTAGCATTTTGAGTTTCCTATATTCTTTAGTAGAAGAATGGGGATGTTTATTTTACACTTAAATTAAATATGCACGTTAAAAATAGTAAATTAACCTCAAAAGATGAGAAATATGTTATACAACTTCCAAGAATTAAGGGAGTAAAAAAGGAATAAATAAAATTCAGTAAATCCAATGTAAGGGGAAATAAAAAATTATCCAAGGAAATATACCAATAATAGGAAGCTCAGAAGATGATGGTAGAAATTATTCCTACCATACTATTGATTACAATAAATATAAATTAACTGAAATCACACAGACAGAGCTTGTAAGAATTGGATAGAAACAAACTCTAGCTAAGTACTGTTTACAAAAGACATCTACTACATGTGGACATGGTGGGGGCGTTACAGGTTGGAAAATACGTATTCAGCAAAAATCAGCCAAAGAGAATCTAATGTAGTCATGTTAATGTCAAACTAAATGACTCCCAAGACAAAAAAGTATTAGAGGATGACAGGTACAAGTTGTCTGGGAAATGAAACAATTTTGGACTTGTTTGCATTTCACAGCCTTTAAAAAGTCAAAAGCAAAAAAGAGAAGCAGACAAATTCATGATGGTAGAGTGACATTTGAATGGTCTGATTTTAATGTTTTGATAGCATTAAATAAAAATAACAGGAGGCTGTTGTTTTGGACTAAGCTTCGCTGTTTCACAGTAAAAGTTGAGTTGCTCATGCTAAAGTTCTTTGTCATCAGGCTGTTTATTTGGCTTTGTGAAAAACCACGATTGGAGAAAGAACAGGCAAATTTCCCAAGGCAGTTTCTATTGGTGATAATGAAGTGCCCCCCCCGCCTTAAACCTCATACACAAAGCTCACCTCAAGTAACCTAGCGTTAACCAGGAAGTTATTCTCACTGTTCTGCCATTGTTTCCTCTAATAAGGACAGGAACAAAACGATCAGCATACTTTTTGTATTTTGTTTCTGCCTGCCTCCTTCCTGTCTTTTTCTTTCTTTCTTCTTTCTTTCTTTCTTTCTTTCTTTCTTTCTTTCTTTCTTTCTGTCTGTCTGTCTGTCTTTTTCTTTCACAGTACTAAAGATTGGACCCAGGACCTTCTCACTGATCTCCCCAGCCCTTTAAAAAAGATTAAAACCTATTTTTTTTTTCAGACAGAGTCTTGCTAAGTTGCCCAGACTAGGCCTAAACTTCCAATCCTCTAGCCTCCGCCTCCCAGAGCAGTGAGATTACAGATATGCATCACCATGCCCAACTTGTTTCTGCTTTCTTCAGCTCTTTTCTGTATATAAAACCAATCCATTCTTCTCGGCTCATTAACACTTATTGTATCTTATGTGTTGCCCAATTCCAAAACTGAAAATGAAACCAGTTAAGATTGTTAAACTAAATTCTTATAATTTTGTTCATTGACCATAGTGCAAGAAAACAAACAGAAGAATATAATTTGGAGTATCAGAACATAAAATAGTGTTTAAGAAAGCAAACATTACTAAAATACTTCATTTAAACCTCAGTTCTGTCACTTACTGGTTGTTTGAGCTCAAGGAAATTACCTAACCTCTCTGTGAATCAGTGCTCTTATCTCCAAAATGTTGGTGATAACTGTGTGATCCTCCCAGGAGGGATCTGAGGATTATATGACTCAGTCTTTATGAACCACTCCAAACAAAATCTGGTCCATCGTTAGCACTCTCTAAGTGGTTGTTAAATAAAATGAGCCACCCGGGACTTATGAACATTGTATATCCTGCCCCTGAGATCTAAAGAACAGCATTCTGTTCATTCAAAGATGTATGGAAAGTTCATGAAAACTGGCCAGGCCACAGAGCAAGTCCAGCAACTTCCAGTGCATGGAATAATATAGAACATATTCTCTGATCCCAGTGAAATTGTTAGAAATCAATCATAATATGATAACTCAAAAGACACTGACAGAGAATTTGGAAATTTTCTATCACAATTCTAAATGAGAAGAGAAGAGATGATTATGGACCTTACACGAGGTTGATAACTAAAAGGCGATGAAACCCTACATACCAGCAATTTGTGGGGTGCCTTGAAAGTGATATTTAAAGAAAAATTAAAGTATAAAATGTCCATATTAGAAAAAAAAATGCTAACTTTTTTTTTTACAAAGCTAAGTGACCAATTCCAACTGAAAAAAAGGTTAAACCCTGTGAAAATAAATAGAAGGAAATAACAATAATCAGAGAAGATCTTAATACAGTAGGATGGAAGAGGAATCACCAGAGAGGAACAATAAGGGCAATAACTGGTTTTGTTTGTTTGTTTTTATTTTTGTTTTGTTTTACTGATTAACTTAGGGATGGAGAAACAAAAACAAAGAAGAACAAAATGAAAAAGGGAATTGTAGTTAGGTACCTTAGAGAATATTAGAAAAGATTACATACCAAGAAAAACTATATACTTGATAAATTTGAAAAAGTAGATGAAATGGTCAATGTATTACAGAAATACGATATATCTAGAACTGACTCAAGAAAAAATAGAAAACCTTGCAAGCCCTTTAACCTTAAAGAAATTGAGTTGGTAGATTTATAAAAATTTTGTTCTTTTTCATTGCCATATTTGTTTGTATTTTCTAATGCTTTATACAGTATTGATGTGAGAAGTACATGTACACACATTAAAATTAATTAATGTCTATCTTATTGGAGATGCAGGATCAATTTTTTTTCCTGCTGTTAGAATGCAGGGAGAGAAATTCAGAGATCCCTGGCCTCTGTTAAAATTTGTCCAGTTATATCCCTCACTAGTTCTTCATAATAGCTTTGTGAGGTAGGATTATTTGTCCTTCTTCACAGATGGGGCAATTAAGGCTCGGAGCTGGGCTGTCAGGACACTGTCTCCAGCCTGCCAGCACTGCTCGCTCCCACCTTCTGCCAGGGTAGTAACTGCCCACCCCACAACCAGGGTTGCAAGATGCAGCTTTAGCTGGTTTCCCTGCATAAATGATCCACAGACCAAGAAACCAATGTGGGGATTCATCTCTGCAAGCTCATATACGATATCAGCCCCAGGTCCAGAAACAGTAAGTGCCATGGGGCCTTGGAATGCCGGGATCCCTCTCTGGATTCTCAGACCTCCCATGAGCATCTTTTCTTCTCATGAGACTCTAAGTCCTAAATCAGGACTCTGCAGTCCACAGCCCATCTACTATAGAGGCACTTGGTCATCACCAGATAGTCACTGCAAAGAAAATGGCCTGTGAATCTCTTTATATGGCACATTGGCATAGGGAAACAGCAAAATCAATGTGAAACCTGCCAACTGTCACCTCTAAGCTAATGCCTGCCTATTTGCAGGTGAGGACCGACAGGGCTGAGGAAATGATTATACTTTTGGAATGCATGATGGACCAGTGATTCTGGTCAAATAGACGTAAACAGTGGTGTGATAGTGTTCAACAAAAAATTAAACTGAGCTATAAAAGCACTCAGGAAGGGGTGTGTGTGTGTGTGTGTGTGTGTGTGTGTATGTGTAGGGGGGGATTTCTGTCATTGTGACAAAATGCCTGAGATGAACAATTTCAAGAGGGAAGGTTTTCTTTGACTCACAGTTTCGAAGGTTTCAATCCGTGGTCAGTTGCCTTGTGGTGAGGCAGCATATCAAGAAAGTGGATGTGTGGTTTGTTTTTGAATTTTAAATTTTAAAGTTTTCAGTTTTTCTGGATTTCTCAGGTTTTCTCTAATGTGATGCCTAACTGCAATAAGAAGAGAGTCACTCTGCATGGGAGAAGCCCTTTGCCTTTCCCACTTCCTAAGTGTGCCTCCACTCCCTCTGCTCTGGTTTTCAGGGCCCCAGTGATCACGAATACACACACACACACACCCCATCCACTCACCCCTTCGTGCCTGCCATCCCCCATGCCATATGGCTGCTCTTCACCTTGTTTAGCTGTGAAAATCAAGGCAAGGCATGGCAGCTTGGGTATGGGTCTGGGGATAGTCAAGACCTGTGTCATGGTAAAAGGGACAGGGAGCCAGGCTGTGTCCCTGCTCTAGGCAGATTGAGGGTAACTGAATTGCTCTGCCCCAAGGGCCTCCCTCAGATGCAGATTTGTTAGAAGAGCTACCAGCTCCTGACCACACCCAGACAACCAGCCCAGAAAGTGCCCGCTGTGGTGATGCCAGATTCCCAAAGACGAGCTGGACCCTGGTTCCCAGCCCTCAGTGCTGGTGATTTCCTGAGATTCTTCTGAGCATTGAAGGGCTAGAGCTGCACAGGGTTACAGCAGCCTAAAGAATTATCATGACATGTTCCAGGTACTCTAAAAGTCCAATAAATCATAGAATGAACTCCTGGATCCAGGCAGTTGAAAACCCTGAGTCCCTCCTCCCCTCCCCAACTTGCCCATATTGACATTTGTTTATTGTCCCAACATCTCTTTAGACGCTCTCTTCTTAACCCTCCCTAGACAATATATAAAGCCATTTTTTTAACTGTCTTTAATACATGTGGTCCAGTATCATACATATTTGCCTGTAACTTTGGTCCATTTCCTCTTCCCTTTGAAGGATGACAGAGGCACATGAGAAAGGCAGAGATGGCTGAGCCAAACACCCCTTCGTATGTCACCATCTTCTCTAATGCAGTCCACTGATCAGGCTGGAGGAAGTCACCTGGTGCAGGTCCCTGTCCCGTTCCGTCACTTTGTCAACGTGTGTTCTTTTGCTCTGGATCTATCTGAAACACTGGGTGACCACAATGCAGTTAGTAGTCAGGGGTCCTTAGTCCCAGCGTCACATCAGTGAGCCAGCCATGGCAATACACGTCCTTCCCGTATGTTCCTTCAGTCCTGTAGCATCTCATCATGTGAAAACAGCACCTTTCCCCCATCTGTGTTTCAGCTGGTGGACACTTAGGATGTTTTCAGATTTGCAGCCAGAAATGCTATGGCCTTCCTCAGGCATCTGTCTGGAGAGCTGAGGATGGGCTGGTCTGGAAGCGGAGCCCTAGCACTCAGAATGGGAGAGGTCCTGCTCCTTAGAGAAGGTCACTCTGCCCCCAGAGGAACTCGGCCGCTTTATCCCAGGAGAGCCTGGTTCCCAT